AAAATTCTTCCTCCCGCCGCCTGGCCAGCCGCGGGCCTGTCCCCGGAGCCAAGAATTCCAGAGGCTTCCGCCCCGACAGCTGCGGCTCGGCCCCGGCTTGGGCCCCCGGCTCCGCCCTCCGGATTCCCGGGGGGATTCATCCCACCCGGCCCAGCCGCTCCCCAGAACATGCTCGCCCCCGGGGGGCACCCCCAGGACAGGGCAGCGGGGACCAGCCGGCCACCCCTGTCCCGGGCCAGCGTCCCCAGGCTCTCTGACGCCCCTTGGCCCGCACGGCTCGGCCCTGCCAGCTGCACTGGCTTCCCGTCCACGCCAGCTGGTTCACAGGGCTTAGCCCGGCGGAGCCTGGTGCCTCCTCCTCCAGGCAGCCCGCCCGGTGAGCCCTGCCAAGTTCGTGCTCTGCCGGGACCTTCAACATCTGCGAGCCTGTTCCTTGTCCCACTGCATTGGAAGGGGGGACAGGGCCTCTCCCACCACCATCCCCTCCCCCCCACCTCGCCCCCCAGTCAAGGCTTCTCTCCCTCTCCAGGAAGCCCTCCTCGGCTCATTCATCTTCTCCCTGCCTGCAGCCACAGCTCACAATCCAAGGCACCTCCTCCGGGAAGCCTGCCGGGCTGCCCACCCACCCTCTGCCTCCTTAACCCCTTCTACCACTGAGCTGGACCCTGATCACCCACCAAGCCCCAGCGGCCTCCGATTTCCCCGCCAGACTCCCTGTCTCCTCAGCCTGGAGCCGCGTTCCTGCCCCCCGGCAGCCGTGTGCCAAGCCGGCACACATGTAATGTGTATTAACCGAAGTCTCCTGCGGAAAGGAAGGAGAAACGGCGGCCGAACAATAGCCGCCCTTCCTTCGCGGGTGAGGGCAGCTTGGGCCGGAGCCGTGCGGCTCCAGGGATGCGGCCCCGGGCCGGGCCAGGAAGCAGCCCGACCCATCAGGCGGCCAAGGAGCCGCCAAGAGAGGGGGGGATTCGAATTTGAGTTTGTCCGACTTGGAAACTGCAGCCAAGGGGAGATCGCAGGGTCCCCTCGGCAGGGCACAGGCCACCGGGGCAGGAGAGCACAGTGGGCAGCGTGCTGGCCTTGCCCACGGCCGACCCAGGTCTGATCCTCAGTCTCCTGGATGCCACCAGGAGTCAGCCCTGAGCACAGAGCAAGGAGTCAGCCCTGAGCACTGCCAGGAGGACAGGGATGCAGAGCGCTCTCTTCCCTGTGATGCTGGGGACGGGGCACCCCACGAGGAGTCCAGCTGGAGAGCGGGTCTCTGAAAAGGTCCTAGAAGTGGGGCTGGTACCCTCATAGTGGCTACAGCCCGAGGGGGTGGGCACAAGGAGCCCCTCCCTCTGCAGGAGCACAGACCCGCCCCCCCCACTTGCAGGAGCCCTCCCCAGACACAGTGCCGCTATGGAGGAGGAGCACAGCAGGAGGGATGGGGGAGTATGGAGGGCTTCCCGGAGGAGGGGGCATCTCAAGGTTGCCTTCAAGGTTGTCACCAAAGAGCAACACCCTGACAGAGGCGATAGGGGTGTGAGGGAGGGATGAGAGATGCACTCGGAGACTCAGATGGGAGGTGACCTCTGGGGGCACCACGTGAGGGCCCAGAGTGACCCCACAGGGCCACACGGGGGGGTGAAGGATGCTGAGTGGGCTGGCGCATGCCTAGGCGGGCATGGGTGGGGTGAGTGGGCAGACGGCAGGGCAGTGGGGTGTGGGCAGGGGAACGCCTGTGGGTCCCCACGGGTCGGGAAGTGGCTGAGTGTTGGGACGGGTAGGGTGGATCACTGGTCAGCACCAGGGGGGGACGCAGCTCAGCTGGGGGGCTGGGGGAAGACTGGGCAGGGGTGCAGTGGGGAGAGGCCGGGGGAGCCCAGCGAGGCGTCTGCTCTGCGGCCAGCACGGGAGGGAAGTGGAGACTGTGGCCCGCGGGGAGGCCGGTCTGGGGGCTGAGGAGGGGGCCGGGCCAGGCCTCCCCTGAAGACTCACAGGGCCTGGTGGGCGGTACGAACATTCCTGGGTGCCCAGAGGGGGCAGTGATCTTGTACCCCTGTCCCCCGCGAGCGCCATCCAGAAACCGCCTCCTTGGGGCTGGAGAGGTAGCACAGCGGGGAGGGCGTTTACCTTGCACGCGGCCGACCCGGGTTCGATTCCCAGCATCCCATAGGGTCCCCTGAGCACCGCCAGGGGTAATTCCTGAGTGCAGAACCAAGAGTAACCCCTGTATCCCTGTGTATCGCCGGGTGTGACCCCAAAAATAATAATAAATAAAAAGGTTCCATTCTCATGAAAGGAAGCGATAGCACAGAGGGGAGGGCGTTTGCCTTGCATGCGGTCGACCGGGGTTTGATCCCCGGCATCCCATAGGGTCCCCCAAGCACTGCCAGGACGAGTAATTCCTGAGAGTATGAGCACCCCTGTGCATCGCTGGGTGCGACCCAAAAAGCAAAAAAAAAAAACCCGAAAAACAAAAAACAGAAAAACAGAAACTCCCTCCTTGCGGGAAGTCCTGGCCTCTGCCCACCGGCCTGCAGGGGTGAGTGGGGCAGGGGGCCAAGGGGAGGAGTTGAGCTCCCTGATGATGGCTTGGCTCCGTCCAGACAGGGGAGGGGTGGGGGGCCCTGACCTCCCCAGGGCCCAGCTGGGCAGCATTGGTTCTGCATTCTACACGGTGATTACTGCCTCTGTGTCCAGTTAACCCCTGCGCTGCTGGGCACTTTGCTGGGGGCGGCGGCTGGGCGGTGCTCCCAAAGGGTGCTCGGGCCTCTCCGCACCTCTGGGCTGCTGGGCTGTGACTCAGCCTCAGGGGGCAGCGCTGCCCGGGGCCTGCAGGCTGGGGGACCCAAGGGCCACCCCAGCATCGCTTGGGGCTGCCTCCATCCGTGCGGGGCTGTAAACAGAGTCAGAATCAGAGTCAGACGCAGGCGCCCTCCACGTTCTCTTGGCCGGAAACGGGGGGAAGAGAGAGGCGGGACTGCCCGTCACTGTCCCCTTCACCGGACCGCGTGGACCCGTCCCCCTTCAGAGAGAAAACCCAGTTGGAGCCTTAAACCAGGCCAAGAGCGCAGAGCAGGGGTGCAGCTCCAGGGAGAGGGATGTCTGACTCTTCTGCCTGGAGAAAGGCGGAGGTGAGCGCAGGCTGAAGGTCCCTCCCGGCCTCGCTTTGCTTGTCTGTACAATGGGTCAGCAGAACTTCTGCCGCCACCGAGGCCAAGGCACAGGGGAGCTGGTGGGCCTGGTGGGTCCCGGAGGGTCTTTCTTGGTCTGCTTGTTAGTTGAGAGCCCAGGTTTACTCTCCGACATGGCACGATCCCCCACCACCAGCACGGCTGGGAGCACCCCCCCCCCCAGCACAGCTGTGGGGGGATGGCCTTGGAACTGAGAAAGCCAACAGCAGCCAGCTTCTCGGCCATCTCCCCGGTGCTCATAAGGACCAAGCAGTGAATTTCCTGCCCATTTTATAGCTGAGAAGTGAGATCACCGAGGCCACGTGCCATGGCTTTGTCTCAGGAGAAACAGTGGCAGGGGCTGGGCTGAGCCCCCAACGGCCGTGGAACTGCCCCCTCGGCTGATGCAAACTTTGGGAACCAGCCGGACCCCCAGGAGTGCAGAAGTCAGTGCTGGTGACGGGACAGGGCGGGGGGGCAACAGGGGGAATCGGGGTCCCCTGACACAGCACGAGGCTTGGAACAAATCACTTCAGCCGTCCGCAAAGCGCACCAAACGGGGTGTCACCCCATCTGGGGTTCTCGTGAGGAACTGCAGAGGAGGAGGTGCTGGGTGGGTTCCCGGGGGTCTCCCCACTAGGTACCAACGAAACTGGGGCCACTGGGTGAGGGCCCTGCACCCCTCGGCTCAGGCACCACAGAGAGTTTGCAAGCTCCCTGGCTCCTGCCCCCTCCCCTTCTCTGCCTGTTGGGGGGCGCTTGGAGGTCACGCCCCTCCATCTGGGCCTTATCCAGCCTGTGCACCCCCACCCCTAAGAGTTCCCTATTCCACCGGGGAAAAAGGACACCCGAGCCTGGCCAGGGGGCCACCCGAGGAAGTGCTGGAATGCCCCGTGCCTCAGTTTCCCCCTTTTCTCCAGCTGGTGGTGCCTCTGTTTCCCCATTTTTCCAGCTGGTGGTGGGGGTTCAGGGAGCCCCAGAAAGAGGCACAGGCCCGGGTACAGCACTGGCCTGGCTCCTGCAGCCCCTGGGTGTCTGGTCGCCTGCTTCCCGCCCCGGGGCCCTGCCAGGGACCCTCAGGTCCTGGCTTCCTTCCATGCATGAGCCCCCTTCCTGCCCGACTCAGGGGTCACCCCCAGGAACCCTCCCCAACCCTTCTTCTTCTCCTCCAAATGCTGGGTGAGGGGTCCAGGTGGGGGCAGCCCAAGCTGGATGGGAGCTCTCTCTCCCCACTTCCTGGGGGACACCTCCGCTGACCCCCCCAGGACGGGGCTGGGGTTGCCCCAGAAAGCGCTGAACCCAGCCCGCTGGGCGCCCCCCTCAGACGCACTGGCTGAAGGGGTGCGAATGGTGAAAACCCAACATCCATGTCTGTGGTCCCATTTTACAGACAAGGAAACTGAGGCCCGGGATGGCTCAGAAGGGCGCAGAGTGGAGGCCGAGCGAGCAGTCCTTGGCCACTCACCAGTGCGCCAGGCTCCCAGGGGCCTGCGCCCCAATTTGGTACGTCTGACACCCACAGGGCGGTCATCTAGGAGAGATTCAGGGAGTGGAGGAGGGGACCACCGGGGGAGGCCAGCGGCCCGGCCAGGCGCTTTCCCCCTGCGGTCCCCCCACCCCGGGGGCGGGCGGAGACCCGGCCTGGCGCCCCGCGGCCCCGGCGTCCCCGGGCTCGCGCTCCGCGGGGTCGGCTGGACGGTGCCGGGAGGGGGGCCGGAGGGGGCCGGAGGGGGCCGGGCCCCGCCCGCGGGCGGGAGGGGAGAGGCGGGGGGCGGGCGCGCCCCACACCCCGCCCCCGCCCCGGAGCGGCCCGCGGAGCCCGCGGCCAGGGCGGCGCAGACCGGCCCAGCCACTCGCCCGGGCTGCGCGCCGGGACGCGCCACCAGCGCCAACGCCACGGCCGCCGCCACCCCCGCGCGCGGGGCGCCCCGACGGAAGGTAACGGCGGCCCGGCCGCGGGGTCCCCGCCGGGGCGCGGGGTCGGGGTCGGCCGGGGGCGGGGGGGCGCCGCGCCCGCCCCGTCCGGGCGCACGCGGGTTGGCACGGGCGCGGGGCCTCCCCGGGGCGCGCCGGGTGCCCGCAGGAAGGCCCCGATCGGGGTCCCGCGGGGGCGCCCCGAGTCTCCCGGGGTGCCCGGAGCGTCAGCCGCGGGCCGGCGCGGCGGTTCGCGCGCGCGGGGAATTGGGGTGGGGGGGTCCCCCGGCCCGCGCGCGCGGGAGGAAGGGGGGCGCGGCGAGGCCGTCTCGGCTCCTTCCTGCTTCGGGGAAGGAAGGGAAGGGGCGGGAGGGGGCGAGGGGTGGGAGCGCCGGGCCCCGCGGAGCGCGGGAAGTGGGGCGGGGATGGGGGGGACCGCCGGGGGGCCGGACCCGGCACCCTGCCCCCTCCCGACCGCGCATTCCAGCCCGTGCGGCCGAGGATGAGGTCATCCCGGCCGGCCGCCCCTTCCTCCGGGACCCCCCCAACGCCCCCCACCCGCCTCAGAGTCCTGTGTCCCCTCCTGCCCGCGTGCGCCCCCAGACTCGGCGGGGCGGCCCCCTCCCTGGCCAGGCGCCCTAGGCAGGCCGGACCCTTCTGGATGGCCCGAATATGCGAGACACCCCCCCCTCCTCGCTCCACCCCCAGCCCGAGTTTGAAGCCCATTTTCAAGGCGGGGAAACTGAGGCCCAGGGAGGGGAGAGGCAAACAGGAGGCCAGGACCCCCCGACCCCCACCCAGGGCTGGAAGCAGCACGCGGGACTGTCCCCGCCGGCGCCCGGCCAGGCCCAGTCAGAGCTGACTCAGCCGTAACCCGGGGTGGGGGCAGGGTGGGTGGGTGTCCCACCCCCGCCTCCCGCCCCCCGCGCACGTACCCCGGCAGGCCTGGCCCTTCTGCCTCAGTTTCTCCAATCTGTCCACCTTCACCCCGGGAGCCCTGGGGAGCGCGGCCCCTTGTCTGGGCCACACCCGGCAGTGCCCAGGGCTCATTCCCGAGTCTGAGCTCACGGGTCACTCATGGCGGGACCCAGGGGACCCTGCGGGGTGCCCGGGTTCGAGCCCGGGTCTGGACGCGCAAGGCTAGAACGAACCCCTGATTCTCAGTGGAGGCCGGGACTGCCCCCACCCGCTCTGCTCGGGGGGACCCCCCGCACCCCAAGGCAACCCTCTCCAGTGCTGCCCCGCGCCCACCCCCCCGCCCCTGTCACCCTCAGCTGTCAGAGCCCAGGAAGCCCCCCGGCTCGCCCGTGCCTCCACAGCGACCCCTATCGACCGCCCCTGGGAGCGCCCGCCGGCCTCCCGCCCCAGGCTTGGACTCGCGGGTTTTGGCACCGACCTGACCCTCCGCGGGCAGCGACCTGGGGGTGGGGCTTGGGGGGGGGGGGGGCGACTGCTCTCCGGGACGTAAATAGCCTCCCGGGAAGGCAGCGAGGGCACCTCCCGAGTCTCTCCTGCCCCCCTCAGCCTGCCCACTCGCCCTGGCATGCAGGGGGGTGTTAGTGGATTGGGGGTTGCCTCCAGCGCGCCTCACTCCTCTGGGCTCCGTGACCCGGGGAACCAAGACAGTCCTCCCCTGCCCGTCACTTCCAGTCTGTACCGAGGGAGCTGGAGGCAGTGCTGAACTGTGCCCACAAGGGGGTCGAGGTTGGGACTGACTTCAGGACGGCCCTGCCCCGGGGCCTGGGGTGGTCATAACTCCCCCCTCCCCAGGAAGGGGCAGCTTTGGCGGCTACAGGAAATCAGGGCCCAGTCAGGAGCCCTGCCCTGCCCTCTTTGGGGGACGGGGTCCAGTGGCATCAAGGTGGCCGCGGAGAGGACCCCTTTTGCTGAGAGGGTGGGGATGGCCTCAGGGAACTGTGGAGGGGCCGGAAGTCGCCGAGCTCCGACTTGGCACGTGGCACTTGGGGTTCCAGAACCAACACCTCTCACACTCCACCCCCTCCTATTCCTCCTGCAACAGATGTGGAGGAAATAGAGAGGAAAAAAATGAAAACAAAGAAAGCCAGGAGTTGGGGGGTGGGTGGGGTGGAGAGGAGCCGGGTGCGCCCTCACTGTGGGCAGACACAGCACCCCCTCCCTTTACCTGACATTTTACCCCAAGATCTGCATCTGGAGAACCGGCCCGCCACGTGCAGCCCACGTGACCCCCAGATGAGCTCAGCCTGCAGGGCTGTGGGGTGGGGGGTGGGGGGTCGGGTGACGTCAGGCCACGGAACTCGGTAACTCCGCGAACACGGGACAGCCCGGGGCTTCTCGGAGCCGTCCTGGGGGTGCCAGGGAGAAAGGGGTGATTCAGAACCCCACCACCACCCCCGGGGGTGGGGGCGGGGTGGTAGGGGGTTGTTAGGGCCAGGGAAGATCAGAGGGTGGGCTGGAAAGGGAATGTCTTGCGTGGGGACAAAGCCAGCCTTGTGTGGAGGCCGCCTTTGTTTGCATCTGGTTATTGAACCTATTTTGAATTTCAAATGCCACTCGAAGGCCAGTGTTGAGATTTTGACACTTGGGGGTGGTCAAGAGGAGAGAGGAAATCTGATAATGATCGTCCTGGTGAGGAGGACTGCAGCTCAAGGGTCTCATCCGCTGAGACCTTTTGGGCAGGTGAGTTTTCAAGGTCAGGCCCCGAGGTGTCAACCCTCAGCTCCCGCCTTGCAGGGCGGCAGGGAGGGGGCCGGAGGTGACCGCCCCCCAGGTGGCCGGTGACGGAGCTGAACTGATTTGGTCCTTGGTATGGGCAGGGAGGCCGCTGCAGGGACAGGCCAGGCGGCTGCCCCCGGCCCTGGGGGGTGGACCCCAGAGACGAGACCCTGTCCCGCGAGCCGCTCTCTGGCCCCAGGGAACCTGGGCTCCTGGGGTGGGGGGCCCTATAGCCCCAACTGTCTGCGATTCTGGAAGTGATGCATTCCCAGGGGCCCCACAGCCAGGACTTCTGTGTCTCTGCTTCTGGAAGTGACCAGAGCCGGTGGACGCCCGGGCGGAAGTGGGGAGGGGGTGGTCAGGAAATGAGGAAGTGGGCACACACGGGCTCCTGGCATCCGGCGGGGCAGTTTCGGATGCAGACTCCTCCATCCCCTTGATAGGCAGTGATAAGGCTCTTCCCTGCAGGCCTTCTCAGTGCCTTGACCCTGCTGGTGGCAGCTGCAGAAAGCGTCTTGCAAGCCGCCTGGTGCTTTGACCAGGCGGGACCTTGAAGGAGATGGGGCAGAGTTGCTGCCGCACGGTGGGGGAGGGCAGGGGGGTCCGGGCTCCTTTTGGGGGGGGACCTGGCCTGCTGTGTGGCTTACAGCCAGTCATCTCTGTCGTGTGCCTCGGTTTCCCCTCCCCGAGCAATATCTCTGGGGAAACTAAATTGCTGACTCTTGAGAAACAAGTTCTGTGTCCTGCTCAGCCCTTTCGTGGACGGTTCCATGAATTCGGGGCCCCCCGTCCGTTTCATACCTGCTCCGAGGTGACACCCAGACTGTCCACAGCACCCCTCATTCTACCTGATCCACAATCCACAATCCAGGCCTTTCCAGGCTGCTCTCAGCATGTGTTTGGGGGGTGCTCGTTTGGCAGTGCTCAGGGCTGACTCCTGGCTCTGTGCTCAGTACTAGCAGGCTCGAAGGATTGACTGTGGTGCTGGGGCTCAAACCCGGCCCGGCTGTGCCATATCTCTGGCCCTCGTTCACTTTTTTGTTTGTTTGTTCGTTTTTGCTTTTTGGGTCACACCGGGCGATGCACAGGGATCACTCCTGGTGGTGCTCAGCGGTCCATATGGGATGCTGGGGATCGAACCCGGGTCGGCCGCATGCAAGGCCAATGCCCTACCCACTGTGCTATCACTCCAGCCCCTGCTTTTTCTTTTCGGGTCATACCTGGCCATGCACAGGGGTCCCTTCCGGCTCTGCACTCAGGAATTACCCCTGCCAGTGCTCGAGGGACCGTCTGGGATGCCGGGGATCGAACCTGGGTCGGCCACGTGCAAGGCAAACGCCCTCCCTGCTGTGCTATAAATGCTCCAGCCCCGCTTTTTTGTTTTTTAAGCGATTCCCTTCTTCCCTTCCCGTCACTGCTGCGTACAGAGGTGGCGCGTCGGCTTGGGTGCCCGTGTGGTGGATGGGTCACCCACCCCCGAGTCCTGGGGAGCCCGTGAGACCCAAGCCGTCTCTGAGTGAGGCCAGAGGTGGACAGAGGACTCCACCCACGCCCTGCAGGAGCCACCTGGGTTCCGTTAGCGCCCCCCACCCCAGATGCGGGGGGTTCGTGACTCGCCCCTCTTGGCTGGTACCACCCCTGCCCCTTCTCTCTCCCAGGTGTGCCCGGGCCGGAGCTGGCTGTCATCATCAGAGGCACCCCTGAAGCCGCGTGTGTCCTGGACACAGCACCAGGGGGGCCAGGCCCTGGGGAGGGGCGCCCCATGGACCCCACGCAGCCTCAGCACCTGGGGGTGACGCCGTAGGAGGCCACTGCTGTCCCCGCCTTCCTCCGAGAAGAAAGAAGCTGAGACGCGACCCCCCCCGCCCAGCCCACCCCGACCCCTCCAGGCCCCGCGTGGGCCCATGGCCCGGCCGCTGTGACCCCCCCGTGAGCCAATGCCGAGCGCCCAAGGGGCTGCCGGGGCCCCCACCATGAGCCTGGGCAAGCTGTCCCCCGTGGGCTGGGCGTCCAGCTCCCAGGGCAAGAGGCGACTGACCGCGGACATGATCAGCCCCCCACTCGGGGACTTCCGTCACACCATGCACGTGGGACGCGGCGGGGACGTCTTCGGGGACACGTCCTTCCTCAGCAACCACGGCGGCAGCGGCGGCGGCGGGGCGGGGGGCACCCACCGCTCCCCCCGTAGCTTTCTGGCCAGGAAGCTGCAGCAGGTGCGGCGGGCGGGGGCACCACCCCGCCGTGTGGGCTCGCCGCCCGCCCCATCGCCCGCGCCGCCCGCTGTGTCACCCATCATCAAGAACGCGATCTCCCTGCCCCAGCTCAACCAGGCCACCTACGACAGCCTGGTGGTGGGCCAGATCAGCTTCGACGCCGGCTCCGCCAGCTCCACGGACGGTCACTCGGCTTACGGTGAGGCCCGCGGCGAGCCCCTGGGGTGGGGGGCAGTGCCAGCCTGCGTGTCGCTGGTGGGCACCCAGAGCGGGGGATTGGGCTCGAACCCGGAGGCATCCATCCTGGGGGCGGGAGGAGTGCCTGGTGGGAGAGAAACTCGCCCACACCCCCAAACCCAGGAGAGAGAATTTGAGGTGGTTTTTCTTCTTTTTTTTTTTGCTTTTTGGGGTCACACCCAGCGATGCTCAGGGGTTCTTCCTGGCTCTGCACTCAGGAATTATCCCTGGCGGTGCTCGGGGGACCCTACGGGATGCTGGAAATTGAACCCGGGTCGTCCGCGTGCAAGGCAAGCGCCCGACCTGCTGTGCTATCGCTCCGGCCCCAAATATCTTTTTTCTTTTTTTTTCTTTTTGGGTCTCACCCGGCGATGCTCAGGGGTTCCTCCTGGCTCTGCACTCAGGAGTTACTCCTGGTGGTGCTCAGAGGACCCTATGGGATGCTGGGAATCGAATCCGGGCTGGCCGTGTGCAAGGCAAATGCCCTCCCCGCTGTGCTATCGCTCCAGCCCCGAGAATTTGAGTTATCTCTGCCCCTAACTCACAGACTTCCCCCCACACACACTCCAGACCCCTGCTGGACACCCCCACCCCATTTCAGCATCCTCTCAGAAACGCCAGGTTGAGAGGGGCCCAGAGCGATAGCCCAGTGGGGAGGGTGTTTGCCTGGCACTGGTGTACCCCAGTTCCATCCCCGGCATCCCATAGGGTTCCCTGAGCACCGCCAGGAGTAAGTCCTGAGCACGGAGCCGGGAGTAACCCCTGAACACTGTCAGGTGTGACCCCAAAAAAAAACACAGAGAGAAAGTTGCAGCTTGGCTGCCTTCTCCCTCCCAGCCTCTGTGAGTCTCAGCGTCAGACGTGCCCTGCACACAGTAGGTAGCTCAGGACAGGGGAGCTCTTTTGTGCTGTTGTTTGAACAGCTTCCTGAAACTTGATTAAATTTGGGGGAAAAGGGGAAAAAAAAAAACCGGTTCCTGCTCCTAGCTGAAGGCGGCCGGTGACCGGGCCACGCCCCTGCTGCCCCCTGGTGGCCGTTCGTTGCCCTGCAGCTCTGGATCCCCACTGAACCTCTCGGGTGTTTGGTGGTCCCTGAGCCAGGAGCAGGACCGAGGACAGTGTGACTTGTAGGCTGGGAGGCGCTGGCCCCCCAGGGCTGGACCAGGCGAGACGGGGCGTTGGGGCTGGAGCAGGGGTTGGGGGCCCCCAGCTCTGGGTCCCGGGAGCGAGGACCCGGGGATGCTGGGGTTGGTTCCCTGGGGGGGTGGGGGGAGGGTTGGTCCTGCATCTCCCAGCTTGGCCGGGGGTCTCGGTTCTGACCCGTCCCCGCTTCCTCCCGCAGGCCTGGACTCGGGCTTCTGCACCATCTCCCGCCTGCCCCCCCAGGACAAGGCCCGCGAGCGCGAGCGGGAGCGGGAGGGGGGCTTCGGCCCGGAGCCCCCCGCGCTGCGCCGCTCCGACTCGCTCCTGTCCTTCCGCCTGGACCTAGACCTCGGCCCCTCGCTGCTCAGCGAGCTGCTGGGGGTCATGAGCCTCTCCGGAGCCCCCACCGCCACCGCCGCCGAGACCCCCAACCCCGGCCCCGCCGCCCCCCGCCGCCTGCCCCCCGACCCCCGCCACCCGCGGACGCTGCCTCAACGGGGTCAGCGCGGGTTCGGGCCCCGGGGTCGGCGCCAAGGCCCCAGCGGAGGGAGCCGAAGGCCCCCGAACCCCCGCTGAAGTGGGGGGAGCCCCCAGCCGGCACTGGGGGGCGGGCTGGGGGTCCGGCAGCCAACACCCCGCTGGGCCGCCCCGGGCGGGGGGCTCCTGGGAGAGCCTGGACGGAGAGTGGGGGTCCCCGCGGGGCGCGGGCAGGCCCCCGGCAGTGCCGCACGCCGTGCAGGCCAGCTCCTTCGCATTTGCTGATGCTGAGGACGAAGACGATGAGGTGAAGGTCTAGGGGCGCAGGGGTGCAGGCAGACTGAGGGGGGAGATGCCAGGGTCCCCGGGTGCCCCCTGTGGACCCCGCTGGGTGACCTGCTCCCACTCACCGCCACTGCCCCCACTCACAGCACCACCTCCCTTTGCCGTGGGCCCAGCATCACAGAACCGGCTTTGTGTCCGGTGGCCCTGGCAGGGGGGACGAGGGGTGGGGTGGGGGCGGGAGCCAATTATACAGTGGCTTTGTCTCCCTCCCTGCAGGCCCCCACCGCGAGCCCCCCCAGAACCCAGGCCCCGACACCCCCTCACACACACACTTGTTCCCGAAGCCTTAGAGGAAAGTCAGGGCGGGCTTCAGGACAGGCCCTACTTCCTGCCACCCGGAGCTGCCTTGGGTCCTGCTCATAAAGGCTTTTTGATAAAAAACAAAACAAAACCAAAAAAAAGTGTCCTGCAAGATGCTTGAGGGGGCTGAGAGGGGCTCCCCAAACCTGGCTTGGAAAACCAAGCCCCCCCCACACCTTTCATCTCCAGGGGGCCCGGGAGGGGCGGGGCCGGGCAGGGGGTAATGAGTAACCCGGCCAGAATGTCCCCAAGATAAGAGACCCAGGTGGGGGCCCTTATCTGCAGTTCCGGGATCCGAGCCTCCCGGAGCCGCCCCTGGGTGCAGAGCCAGCTTGGGGAGCACTCCTGCCCCTCCCTCCTCCCATGCACACTCGCAGTCTTCTTCTTTTTTTTTTTTCTCTTTGGGTCACACCCGGCGATGCTCAGAGGTTCCTCCTGGCTCTGCGCTCAGGAATCACTCCTGGCGGTGCTCGGGGGACCCTGTGGGATGCCGGGGATGGAACCTGAGTTGGCCGCCTGCGAGGCAAACGCCCTCCCCGTGGTGCTATGGCTCCAGCCCCACTCGAAGTCTTCTGCCTCAGTTTCCCCTGCAGTGCCCTAAGATCGCTGGAAACTTCCACCAGCACAAACCACACTGGCTCAGTTAAACTGGGTTAAGGCGCTTTCTTTCTCTTTCTCTTTTCTTTTTTCCCTTTGGGTTTCGGGCCATCCTCAGCGACGCTCAGGGATCACTCCCGGCGGGGCTCAGGGGACCCTAGCGGGTGCCAAGAATTATACCTGAGTCAGCTGCGTGCAAGACCAGCGTCCTACATACTGGACTGTCGCTCCAGCCCCCAGGCACTTTTCTGTCCCTGCTCCGTCTCGGGGAGGGGGGAGGGGGTCAGGATGGGGGGGAGGGTGGATGCCCCTGATCCCGCCTCGCTCCAGGGTCTCCTGCCAAGCACGCGGCCGGGGGCTCACTCAGACTTGATGGAGGAAATGTTGAGGCCACCCTCCACGCCCAGGTAGGTCAGGTGACTGCCCCCCAGCCTGTTGGGAAAACTCAGCTCGTGCCCGTCAGGAAGTTTGACCTTGAACTCGTCGCTCTCAAAGATCACAGTGATCTGCGGAGGGATGGGGGAGGGAGAGCTGCAGGGAGGAAGCCCCGGAGGGTGGTGCACCCCCTTCCTTCTCCACCCCCGTCTCTTTTTTTTTCCCTTTTTTGGCTCACACCCAGCGATGCTCAGGGATTACTTCTGGCTCTGCACTTAGGAATTACTCCTGGCAGTGCTCGGGGCGACCCTCTGGGATGCCGGGAATCGAACCTGGGTCGGCCGAGTGCAAGGCCAACGCCCTCCCCGCTGTGCTGTCACATCAGCCCCATCTCACCTTGACCTCGTCTCCCGGGCTGAAGCACATGTGACTGTCCCGTTGCTCCTGACCCCAGTGGCCGCCCTCCTTGCTGTTGAAGATGATGGTGTTCTCCCCAAAGCGCGGGTTAAAATGCAGGTTCAGATGATCAGCCGTCTGGCCCAGGTTAATCGCGAAGCTGTCAGGGGACGGGGTACGGGTGAGGGTGAGGGGCCGGGTCCGGCTGGGGGCGCTGTCTTGGGAGCTGGGCCGGCTAGGAACTGGAAGACTTCCCCCAGGAAGGTGGTATTAATCGAAGTGGAAGCCTTCAGACGAGGGAGGGGACGCAATATCAGAATATCAGACTGGGTTCTGCAGGGTCGTGTCTGATTGGGGGCACACACCGAGGCTATCCACCGGAGGGTCAGCGATAGAGGCAGAAATTGGAGGTGTGGGGCCAAAGCGATAGCCCAGTGGGGAGGGCGTTTGCCTTACACGCGGCCGACCCGGGTTCGATCCCCGGGATCCCATAGGGTCCCCCGAGCACTGCCGGGAGGGATTCCTGAGCGCAAAGCCCGGAGCAACCCCCGAGCATCGCTGGGTGTGACCCAAAAAGGAAAAAAAATGGAGGTGTGAGGGCCGAAGCTATAGACCAACAGAGCAGGGAGGGCGTTTGCCTCGCATGCAGCCGACCCAGGTTCGATCCCCGGCATCCCATAGGGTCCTCCGAGCACGGCCAGGAGTAATTCCTGAGGGCAGAGCCAGGAGCGACCCCTGAGCATCACCAGGTGTGCCTCTTCCAAAAAAAAGAAAAAGAAATTGGAGGTGTCTCATCTGGAGGAGAGACCCGCGGCCCTTAACTGCCTGGACCACAGCGGGGCTCAGTCCTAAACTCAGAGGGAACTGTGGGTGCGGGGGCCCCGGGTGCTCCCTCGGCTGGAAGTCTGGCTCAGGGGTGCCTTCCTGCCGACCACAGCCTGCACCCTCGAGAGATCCAAGCAGGAGAAACGGAGTTTTCTCTGGGCTCCTATCCCAGCCCGCCCCACCCCGCCAGTCCGTTCCCAGCCCAGAGCCCAGAAACGCTGAAATTGCCGAAACTCCGGGCAACGCCCCTGCGGAGGGAGCACACGCCCCCTGGTGGCTGCCTCTGGTCAGGCGCCCGCGTGAGAGGCGGACTGGGGCGTTTCCCCAGGGAAGGGGCGCATGGGGGGCCCCCCAGGGGATCGGGTTGTCAACAGAGGCACCGGATCCCAGCACGGACCTCCTGGGCTCCCCAGCCTGTCCCTCCCGCGTCTGCTGGGGCCAAGAAATCGAGGCCGCAGCTTGGGCTGTGACCCCCACCCTAGGTCAGGGGGTGAAGGCAGGAGCTAAAGGCGGCTGGGGGTGGGGGGAGCGAGGACCACCATCCTCCTGGCCCACCACGCCGCCCCCCCGCACCCCGACTCACCCGGGACAGTCATCCGCAATCTTGCCCTTAAGTTTCAGGGCCATCCCCGGCTTCAGATCCATGCTCTTAAGCTCCAACTTCCCCTGCACCAAGGGACAGAGAACCGTGGGAAGGGGGAGGGGGAGTGTGGGGAGGGTGCTCTGGGTCCCCCAGCTGCCCCCAGCAAGCCCCAAGTCAACCCTCCCCCCCCCACCCGTCCCTCTCACCAAGAGCACTGAGCTGAGTGTGGCACCCACCCACCTTGGAGCCTCCACGTACCCAGCTGGGAAATGGGCACAGTGGTCCCTACTGATCTCTCCCTCCCCCCCACGTTTGCTCCAGGGGTGCAGGCAGAAGCCCCCTCCACCCCAGCAAGGGGGCATTATCTTCCTGTCGAAGCCTCGAGTCTTTTTCCCTAGGGTCCGAAGTGACTCGAGACTTGCCAACCCCCTCGGTTCAAATTCCAAATGGGACCCCTTTCCCGGGGTGTGTTTTATTTTTATCCTGTTTTATTTCTTTTTGGCTTGGGGGCCACACCTGGCAGTGCTCAGGGGTCACTCCTGGCTCTGCACTCAGGAGCTACTCGTGGAGGGGCTGAGGCTGTTGGGGATGGAACCCAGGTTGGCCGCATGCAAGGCAAGCGTCCTCCCTGCTGTGCTGTCTCCCCGGCCCTGCCTTTTGTTTTTAAACTATTTTTCTTGGGGCCGGAGAGATAAGTCCAAGAGCGGACACGAAACATGCTTAGTGTGTGCGAAGCCCTGAGTTTGACCTCTGGAACCCTCGGCAACCCTGAAGAGGGCCCCAATAAATCAGGAGTCTGGAGTGATAGTATTAGCAGATAAGGTGCCTTGCATGCAACGGGCCTGGGGTTCATCTCCAGAACTCCCCACAGTCCACTGCACCTGGCCAGAAGTAATCCCTGGACACAGGGCCAGGAGTAAGCCTTGAGCACAGTTGGGTGTGGCTGCCCCCAAAGAAAAATAAATGAGGGGGCTGGAGCTAGCACAGCGGGTAGGGCGTTTGCCTTGCACGCAGCCGACCAGGGTTCGATGCCCGGCATCCCATAGGGTCCCCCAAGCACCACCAGGAGTGATTCCTGAGTGCAGAGCCCCTGTACATCACCGGGTGCGACCCAAAAAGCAAAAAATAGATAGATGAATAAAAATCATTTTCAAAATGGTTTTCCTGACTGCTCAGGAAGGAAACACAAGCTCCGCGCGATCTTCCAGCCAATGGAGAGTCTCGGAGCAGCCAGGGAGGCGGAGCTTAGCGCCGGGCGCCCGAGCAGGTGGGTCGGAGCCCGAAACCTCAGCCGCACCCTGACCTGTCGCCAGGGCCGCTGCAGCCACCTCATGTGCACGGGTGGCATCTCCTCTGTCACCCTATCATGAGGACCAGAAATGTCCCCCATGGGGCCTGTCTTCCCAGAGGGCAGGTCGCCCCGCTTGAGAGAAAGTGGGGGGGGGGGGAATGCAGGAGCCGCAGCCCAGAGCATCGAGACCCATAACTTGAAGTCTCTGGGGGTGCTCGTGGCAAGCAGCGATTGGAGGCCACTACTGAGACCCAAGGGTGCCCCCACACCCCGCGGGGGCTTCCCATGCAGAGCCTGAGCCAAGCCTTCTGAGGGTCTCCTGCTCTGCTCAAGCCTGGGGGTGGGGGCTGCAGAGACAGCCGGGGATTCTGTGGCCCCCTGAACCCTACCAGCAGTGACCCCTGAGTGTGGAGTCAGGAGTAAGCCCTGAGCACCGCCGGCTGTGTCCGGCGGGAGGGGTGGACTATGGCAGGAACAGACCAGACCAAGGCGGCCTTTGGGAAGATCAGTCAGAAGATGAGACCCCGACATTCCACAGCTCCCACATGGTGCTGGGGGCCCGGTCAGCCCAGCAGTGCAGGTCGGGGGTTCAGCGCTCAGCCTGCAGCACTGGGGACAAGCAGGGTCGCGGTGGAGTGTCCGGGTGGACCCATCCTCATGTCTGTTGTTCCACCAGCCTTTATTCCCCAGGGATAAGCCAGTCCCCGGACCCCGGCCCTGCCCCGGGGCTGCTGCAGGCCTTCAGCAAAGTTCCTTCCGGTTTGTCTGGGGATGGCACAGGGGCTTCTCCGGCCTCCCCCGACAGACAGGGAGCCCCACCCCCACCCAGGAAGGGGGCACAGGGACGCCTGAAAAGCTCAGATGCAGAACTGAGGGGCTCCAGTCACACGGTGGTTCTCGTGTGTGTCCTGACACACACACATGCACACATGCAGGGCTGGAGAGATAGCACAGCAGGTAGGGCGTTTGCCTTGCACATGGCCAACCTGGGTTCGATTCCCAGCATCCCATATGCTCCTCCGAGCACTGCCAGGAGTGACTCCTGAGTGCAGAGCCAGGAGGTACCCCTGTGTATCAACGGGTGTGACCCATAAAAGCAACAAATAAATAAATAAATAAAACTAAAACTGAGAACGAAAAATGTCATATACGCTCATGCTCACAGATACACTTACCATACACACACACAACACAGGCATGCACACACACAAACATGTACAACGTACACTTGTCCATGCACAGCCACGCAGGCACACACAGGAATGCATACACATACAAATACATGCATACGGTCACGTGCACATATCACACTCATGCATGCACACATTCACAAACATGCCCTACACTTGTGCACACACGAACACACATACAATGACACGCCTGCACACACTTGCGATGCCTGTGTACACACGTAGGCACGTGTATGCATACGCACTGTGTGTGCAAACACACCTAACAGACACGCAGACTCACACGTGTGCACACCCACGCGCGTATACTCACACGCACGTCTGGATACACACTCGAACACGCATGCCCACGTGCCCACGTAGGCACATATGTGCACATGCGGCATCTGATGCCAACGTGGGGCCAGTCTCCCTGTCCCTTGCAGTTACCTGCCCCCCCTCACCTGGGACAGTCAGTGGGGACCCCCGCCCCGCGTCCCTAGAGTCTCCCTATCTGCCGGAAGGAGCCAGCCCCCATGGGAAGTGGGGGGGGCCCTGAGCTGATGCCAGGAGCGAGGTGGGGAGAGGGGAGGGGGAGCAGCAGGAAGGGGCCCCAAAGCTGGTGGAGAGACCTCGGGCCAGTGTCCCCTTCTCGCCCCAGCGCCCCCAACTGTAGCGTGGAGCCTGGGCCTGCTGGTTCCCGGGAGGAGAAGGTGGGGGGGCAGGTCTGGGCCCCCGCAGATGGAGGGGCCACACCCCTCCCATCCTGTGCCTGCCCCTGTGCCAGCTTGAACCGTGTCCCCCCTCCAAAGCCACAGGTGCCCAGGACACTCGCGTGAGGGCTGGAGACGGGCCCCTCGGGCTGTGGGTGGGCACAGGTGGGGCTTCAGGCCTGTGCAGCTCCTGTGGGGAGAGGAAATGGGACACAGGAGGAGCAGCGTGCAGTCCCCGAAACGAGGGGCAACGAACATGGACCCTCCCCTGAGTGCACCCCACTCTCCTGAGTCCGCACCTCGGCCCCCGAAAAACTGTGCAGAAATGAATCGTGACGGCCGAGACTAGGATTCCGCATCTGGCCCTCAACGCTGGCCTGGGAGGACTGTAGCTCAGAGAGGGTCAGCCACTGACCCAGGACACAGGGCACAAAAGGCAGAGCCAGGAAGGGAATGAAAGACTCAGAGGGGTCCCGGAGAGCACACCCCTGCCTGACAGCCGGCGGCTGCGGGCGCTTCCACCTCTGAGCCTCAGTTTCTCCTTTCTTCCTCTTTAGAATGCTCTTCCCAGCTGAGCGTCCAGAGCCCAGCTGACCTGTCCAGCCGTGTCCCTATTCCGGCGGGCAGCCCAGTTACCCAGCAGCCCTCTCACCAGCTTGACGATGGCGCGTCCGGCTCCGTCCGGCAGTGACTCCAGCAGCGGCGACTCTGTGGCCTTGGGTCCTCTGCCTGGCGCTGGCGTCCCTGCGCTCGCGACCCGGAATATTACACATTAACTCCCTGACGCCGTAAATGGGGACTTTGACCCCATCGCAGCATCTCCCAGTCCTCTCCCCACCCCGCCTAGGGCGTCCTGCTGGCCTGGGGTGACCTGCCCCCCCTCAAGCTGGGAGAAGCCCACGCCCGTCCTTAGCCAGGCACTCGGCCCGTGAACCGTCATGACTTCCCCTTGGGCTCTGGGCTCTGGGGTCCGTTTTGAGCCCCTGACTTTCTCTCCTCTCACCCCAAGATTCGCCAAAATTTTCTTTTTTTCGGGGGGGGGGGAATGTTGTCAGTATCATCACACCCGGCGATGCTCAGGGGTTCCTCCTGGCTCTGCACTCAGGAATCACTCCTGACGGTGCTCGGGGGACCCTATGGGATGCTGGGAATCGAACCTGGGTCAGCCGCGTGCAAGGCAAACGCCCTCCCTGCTGGACTACCGTTTCAGCCCCTTTTTACTTCCTGAGTTGATTGTTAATTTAACTTACTCTTTTGTTTGGGGGTCACTCCCGGTGCTACTCGGTGCTTACTCCTGGCTCGGTGCTCTGTGCTCAGGAATCACTTCTGGCGGGGCTTGGGGGACCCTCTGGGGTTCTGGGAGATCGAACTTGGGTCGCCCTGTGTCAGCAAGCTCCCCGCCCACTGTCTTTCCAACTCCATTTTATTTTACTTTTTTAGGATTTAATTGTTTGGGTGGGCCACACCCAGCCGTGCTGAGGGCTGACTCCTGGCTCTGCATTCAGGGGTCCCTCCTGCCGGTGCTCAGGGGACCAGAAACTGGGGATGGAGCTTGGGTCAGCCTCACGCAAGGCAAGCGTCCTCGTGTCTGGACACTCCTGGTGAATCCTGAAGGGTCCCCAGCCAACAGTTCCAGCGGAGGGGCCAGAGCAACACTCCGGCCAGCAGGGCACTTGCCTTGCATGCGGGTGACCTGGATTTGACCCCCTGCACCACACACGGTTCCCTTTACCCTCCATAAGTGACCCCGATCACTGTCAGTGGTGGCCCCCAAACAAAAGCGAAGTGTGTCCATGACCATGCTCTTAACTTATAGTTAAGTCTTATGGCACTTGGCCAGGCCCATTTCGATGCCAGGGTAGCTCACAGCTTGCCCCGGGTCCAACCAGTCCCTCGTCAGGACCCTGCTCTTGGAGTGCCAGGAACTAAGGGCAACTGAGGCTTAAGTCAAGTAAATATGGATGCCCAGGAGTAAATATTGCTTTGGAGTCAATTAACTCCCACGTTACATAGCAGAGCATCAACTGTCTTCCTGTGTCTATACAAAAAGGACATTGCTAAATAAACATAAAGGAAAGAGAAGAGCAGTACAGGATTATTAGTGCCTGATGGAATTGGGTGTGCCTCAGTTGCTCTGTTGTGGGCGTGTCTCAATAAACCTTAAATTCCCTTAAGCAAGGACATCCCAGTGTCATCTGACAGAAGTGGACCTGGAGCAGGAAGGCCGAGGAGGGGAGAGGGGGGGTCCCTGCAGTGAGGGGCTCTGCCCCTGGCCTCCAGTCACGGGTCACTAGAGATTTAGCCAGACGAGGCACAATCGCCCCGATCCCTCCCGCCAGGCGGAGGTTCTGTGTTGTGTTGGCTGGATTCCTCCCCAGCGGTTTTTTAAGAGTTCTATAACAGACGCCTCTCTGTCCGCGCAAATTCCTTTTGGGTTTGGTTTGGAGCCCACACTTGGCAGTGCTTAGGGCGGACTCCTGGCTCTGTGCTCAGGGATCCCTCTTAGCAGTGCTCCGGGAACCCTGCGTAGTACCAGGGATCAGATCTTTCTTTCTTTTGACTGGGGGGCTGGGGGGGGGCACTCCCGGCGATGCGCAGGGGCGGTTCCTCCTGGCTCTGCACTCAGGACTCACTCCTGGCAGGACTTGGTGGGGGACCTCGTGGGATGCCGGGGATCGAACCTGGGTCTGCTGTGTGCAAGGCAAGCGCCCTGCCCGCTGGGCTATCTCTCCAGCCCCTGGTGTCCGGGATCGAGCCGGGGTTGGCTGCGCGCAGAGTATGTGCCTGCGTCTCTGTTTTGTCTCTCGGGCCCCTGGCCCCTGCAACTGTATCCTTCAGCAAACGGGGCCGCCTCCAAGTCTGCATTTCAGGATGCTCGGCAAAGACCAGTGCAATGGGACCGCTTGGTCCCCCCTCTCTTTTCTCTGCCTCTTTTTTTTTTGCTGCCAACGCGTCACTCTCAGCCCGAGGCAGCGGCGTTGCTAGCGACGTTGCTGCGCATGCGTTAAATCACGCGCGCAGAAAGTCTGGCCGCGTCCGCTGGCCTCCTCGGGGCGGGTGTCCAGGGTGAGATTTTTCTAGACCGCTGGTTTGGCCAGCTGAGGCATTTTCCACCAAGGCTGGAGGAGACCAGCCTGGGCCGGGGGCGGGGAGCCTGGCCCCTGTGACTGGCCACGGTGCCAGGAGCTCCCAGGCACCTCCCTCCCCCAAGCCGGGGTTTCCTCACCACACCCCCTGGCTGATGCCAGGGTGAAGCCCAAACAGGATAAGGCTTGGGGGGGGCCTCAGAGATAACACTGAGAGTAGGGCACTGGCCTGGTGTGCGCTGGGCTCCAATTGGCTCCCCGGCTACCCAGAGGGTCCCCTAAGCCCCACCATGAGGGATCCCTGAGCTCAGAGCGGGGAGTGTGCCCTGAGCACAAAGCCAGGAGTCATCCCTGAGCACAGAGCTGGGAGTCATCCCTGAGCACAGAGCCAGGAGTGAGCTCTGAGCACAGAGCCGGGAGTGAGCCCTGAGTACAGAGCCGGGTGTCAGCCTTGAGCACAGAGCCCGAAGTCAGCCCTGAGCACACCCCAGTATGGCCCGAACCTGCCCTCAAAATGATAAAGAGGCTTGTTGCGGTTTCTAGACAGAACCTCTCCTCCGCAGAAACAATGGCTTCTAAAGGTGGCAGGTTGCTTCTGACTAGAGGAGTCATTCTAGCTCCTTGTAGAAGGTTCTGGAAAGTGCCCACAGTAAACAAGAGCTTTAAAGTGGGCGGATCTTAGAAGAATGTTGGCAGGCGGGGAACGTGAGCACAGCTCTGAGACGGACACTTGCCTCCTGTTTGCCCTCTGGGACATTGTTTTTGGTGGGGTTTGGGGGTTTGAGGACTCCCCAACCACCACTCAGGAGGTCTGGGTGTCCCACCTGGCTGCCAGTCAAATGTGACAGTCTGAGGATGTGGCGCTGCTCAGGCCCTGCAGTGTGAGGGATGCCCAAGACCACCCAGAAATACTCCAGGGACTGTGGGTGCCGGGAATCGAACCCAGGTTGGGTGCACGACTGGCATGTGCCCTAACCACTGTGCCATCTCTCTGGCCCTTACCCCCCACTATACAAAGCACTTTTTCAGGCCCTCATTACACTACAAATGATCAAAGTGACCTTGATGATCCTCCCTTTTTTCCAGATGGGAATGAGGGGGTCCCAGCCTGTCCATGGCAGGGCTGCCCGGCTATGCACAGCTGCCTCAGGTGAGTGCCAGGACATGCCCTTGCTTCGTAACAGGGTTTTCTGAGCTCCAGGAAAGGCCTTTTTTGGGAGGGATAACCTTAAAGGTGGAGCCCGTCAGTCTCACCTCCTGGAGTTCACCCCCTTGAGGACGATGAGGTTCAGATTTGATTCTATTTATTTGTTTTTATTTTATTTTATTTGTTTGCTTTTTGAGTCACACCGGCGATGCACAGGGGTTCCTCCTGGCTTTGCACTCAGGAATCACTCCTGGTGGTGCTCAGGGCACCATATGGGATGCTGGGAATCGAACCCAGGTTGGCCACGTGCAAGGCAAACGCCCTATCGCTCCAGCTCCTCAGATTTGATTCTTAAAAAATCGAATCAATGTGGGGCCGGAGAGAGCACCATGGCTGGAGCACAGGCTTTGCGTGCAGGGAGGCCTGGGTTCCATCCCCGGCATTCCACGGTCCCCTGAGCACTGGCAGAATGAGCCCTGAGTATAGCAGTGGGACTCATCGTGGTGTGCTCCCTACAAAAAAGTAATAGGTTATAAAAAACAAAACTAAACTAACTTAACTGCTTTGGGGCTTAGTTGGGGCCATAGCCAGCTGTGCTTAGGCTGACTCCTGTCACTGCACAGGGAGGGCCTTTTTGGGGGGGGGATAACCTTGGCCGCGCTCAAGTGGCTCCGCACCAGGAACTGAACCTGGGTCAGGGACATTGAAATCAAACGCCCGGCCCGACAGACTCTCTCTGCAGCTCCGAAAAGGTCGTTTATTAAAAGATGAAAAAGACGAGCCGGAGCGATAGCACAGCGGGGAGGGTGTCTACCTTGCAAGTCGCCAACCCGGGTTCAATCCCCAGCATCCCACAATGTACCCCGAGCACCGCCAGGAGTAATTCCTGAGTGCAGAGCCAGGGGGAACCCCTGAGTACTGCCGGGTGTGACCCCAAAAGGTAAGGTAAGGTAAAGGCCCTCCCGTTGATCATCGATTTGCTCGATCGGGCCCAGTAACGTCTCCATTGGAGATTTTGTTGTTACTGTGTTTGGCATATCGAATACGTCACGGGGGGTTTGCCAGGCTCTGCCGTGCGGGCGAGATACTCTCGGTAGCTTGCCGGGCTCTCCGAGAGGGGCGGAGGAATCGAACTCGGGTCGGCAACGTTGGCTGCGTGCAAGGCAAATGCCCTACCGTTGTGCTATCGCTCTAGCCGGACCCAAAAAGGCAAAACCAAAATAAAAAAGATAAAAAAGAGATTATAGGACCAGAAAGATAATACAGCAGGTAGGGCGTTAGCCTTGCACCCGGCTGACCTGCGTTCAATCCCCGGCATCCCATAGGATCCCCCGAGGACCGCCAGGAGTAATTCCTGAGTACAGAACCAGGAGGAGCCCCTGAGTATCGCCGGGTGTGACCCAAAACTGAATAATAATAATAACAACAATAATAATAGTAATAATAATACAGTTAATTATAAAGAGATCCTCCCCCCTCTTCCTCTCTCCCTCCCTCACTGTCTCTCTCTC